GCTGATCTCTTCCTACCCACCCCACACCCACCCCCAGCCTTTCCTCTGAGGTTCAACAGTCTGTTCCATGTTTCTGTGTCTCTGGATCTATTTTGTTCATCAGTTTATTTTAGTCATTAGGGTTCACATATGAGTGAGATCATGTGATACCTTTCTCTGACTGGCTTATTTCGCTTAGCATAATACTCTCCAGGTCCATGCATGCCGATGCAAATGGTAGGAGTGCTTTCCTTTTCACAGTTGCATAGTATTCTGTTGTGTAAATGTACCACAGCTTTTTTTCCCACTCATCTATTGATGGGCATGTGGGCTGTTTCAAAATCTTAGCTATTGTAAATTGTGCTCCTATGAACATAGGGGTGCATATATTCTTTCTGATCAGTGTTTCTGATTTCTTTTTATAAAATTCTTTATTATTTAAAGTACTAGAGGCCCGATGCATGAAATTGTTGTGTGTGGGGGGGGGGAGAGGTCCCCTCAGCCCGGCCTGTGCCCGCTCGCAATCCAAGACCCCTCACTCCTAACCGCCTGCCTGTTCACTCCTTACTGCTTGGCTCACCATTCTTTAGCACTGCCGCAGAGGCAGGAGAGGCTCCTACCACCATCACTGCACTTGCCAGCCATGAGCCCAGTTTCTGGCTGAGTGGCGCTACAGCTGTGGGAGTGCACTACTAGGGGGCAATTCCTGTGTTGAGCATCTTCCCCTTGGTGGTCAGTGCGCATCATAGTGACTGGTCATTCTGGTCATTCCACGGTAATGGTGGCTGGGCTTTTATTATATAAACTAGAGGCCCAGTGCATGAAATTCGTGCATAGGTAGGGTCCCTAGACCTGGCTGGAGATCAGGGACGATCTGTGGGGTGACTGGCAGGGAGATCAGGGGGCCTCCACTGGAACCCTCCTTGGAGGTGACCTGCGGGGCGATTGAGGGCCAGCACTGCCCACTTGCCAGCCAGCCCCGGCCCCCACCACTGCTGCTGGTCACTGCCCTCTGCAAGGCAACCAGTGGGGCAATTGGGGCACCCCCACTGGCACCTGCATTGGCTGGCCTGGGGCCTGCGGGCTTGGGGCAGCTCCTGGATTGAGCATCTGCCCCTTGGTCAGTGCGTGTCATTCCATCAGTCATTCTGCAGTTCAGTTGATTTGCATATTAGGTTTTTATTATATAGGATTCATATAGTATTACATATGTCTCCTTTTCCCCCATTGACCTCTCCCCAGCCACCTCCACCCCCCAGCACATTCCCTCATCCCCCTAGTATCTGTGTCCATTGGTTATGTTTATATGAATGCATACATGTCCGTTGATTGATCTCTTACTCCCCCTCCTTCCCCTGCCTTCCCTCTGAAGTTTGACCATCTGTTCAGTGCTTCTCTGTCTCTGTACCTATTTTTGTTCATCAATTTATGTTGTTCATTATATTCCACAAATGAGTGAGATTATGTGATATTTATCTTTCTCTGACTGGCTTATTTCACTTAGCATAATGCTCTCCAGTTCCATCCATGCTGTTACAAATGGTAAGAGTTCTTTCTTTGTCAGCTGATTTCTCAACAGAAACCATACAAGCCAGAAGAGAGTGGTAAGAAATATTCAAAGTGATGAATGCCAAGAACCTACAACCAAGATTACTTTATCCAGCAAAGCTATCATTCAGAATAGAAGGTCAGATAAAGAGCTTCACAGATAAGAAAACGCTAAAGGAGTTCATCACCACCAAACCAGCATTATATGAAATGCTGAAAGGTATTCTTTAAGAAGAGAAAGAAGAGAAAGAAGAAAAAGGAACTCTTACCATTTGTCACAGCATGGATGGAACTGGAGAGCGGATAAATACCACATGATCTCACTCATTTGTGGAATATAATGAACAACATAAACTGATGAACAAGGACTGATCCAGAGACGGAGAGGCATTGATTGGACTGTCGGGCCTTGGAGGGAAGGTAGGGGAGGGTGGGGGTAAGGGGGAAAGATCAACCAAAGGACTTATATGCAAGCATATAGGCCTAACCAATGGACACGGACAACGGGGGGGTGAGGGCATGAGCGGGGGTGGGGGGTGGGGGGGTAGAGGGTAACGTGGGGATAAGGACACATATGTAATATCTTAATCAATAAAAAATATATTAAAAAAATTAAAAAAAGAGTTCTTTCTTTTTTACAGCAGTGTAGTATTCCATTGTGTAGATGTACCACTGCTTTCTAATCCACTCATCTACTGATGGTCACTTAGGCTATTTCCAAATCTAAGTTATTGTAAATTGTGCTGCTATGAACATAAGGGTGCATATATTCTTTCTGATTGGTGTTTCTCATTTCTTGGGATATATTCCTAGAAGCGGGATTACTAGATCAAATGGGGGTTCCATTTTTAATTTTCTGAGGAAACTCCATACTGTTTTCCACAGTGGCTGCACCAGTCTGCATTCCTGCCGGGGTCCAGGCCCAGCAGGTCCAGGGGTTCCCAAAGGTGTGGACGGAGTCGGCGAAGAATGTTTTACACAGAGACAGCATTCAGAACTCTCTAGCTTTCCTTAGTCTCCGTGGATCTTCCCTGTGCCTGGCTGAGGCCACAGAGAGAGATCCCAAGGCAAGCTGAGCCTTTATTTTATAGTGAGAGGTAAACAAGGTAGTGGTTTCCATAATTACACAGTTCTTGTGAGTTTCACTTGTTTTGACCATGATTACACTTCCTGCACTTCCTCAGCCCATTAGCTTCCCAGATAAGATCTAGAGAGCCTCATAAGGTCAAGCCTAATTATGCTAAGAGGGCTGTGCCCTCTAAGCTGGGAATTGTTTGTGACTTTACCAACAAGTCAGTCCGAGGCTTAACCCTATATCGGCTCCCCACACATTCCCACCAGCAGTGTACTAGGATTCCCTTTTCTCTACATCCTTGCCAGCACTTGTCATTTGTTGATTTGTTAATGATAGCCATTCTGACAGGTGTAAGGTGATACCTCATTGTCTTTTTCATTTGAATCTCTTTGATGATTGGTGACTTTGAGCATTTTTTCATATGTCTTTTGGCCATCTGTATGTCCACTTTGGAGAACTATCTATTTAGGTCCTGTGCCCACTTTTTAATTGAATTGTTTTTCTTCATTTTGTTAAGTTGTATGAGTTCCCTGTATATTTTGGAAATTAACTGCTTATAGGATGTATCATTAGCAAATATGTTCTGCCATGCAGTGGACTCACTATTTGCTTTGTTGATGGTTTCTTTTGTTGTTCAGAAGCTTTTTATTTTCATGTAGTCCCATTTGTTTATTTTCACCTTAGTTTCCTTTGCCCTAGGACCGTGGTCAGCAAACTGCAGCTTGCGAGCCACCTGCGGCTCTTTGGCCCCTTGATTGTGGCTCTTCCACAAAATACCACGTGCGGGCGCGCACATACAGTGCAATTGAAACTTCATGGCCCATGCACAGAAGTCGGTATTTTGTGGAAGAGCCACTCTCAAGGGGCCAAAGAGCCGCATGTGGCTCGCAAGCTGCAGTTTGCCAAGCACTGCCCTAGGAGATGTATTGGTAAACATATTTCTATGAGAGATGTCTGAGATTTTGTTGTCTATGGTTTCTTTTAAGATTTTTTATGGTTTCACATCTTACATTTAAGTCTTTTATCCATTTTGACTTTATTCTTGTGTATGGTGTAAGTTTGTGGTCTAGTTTCATTTTTTTTGCATGTGCCCATCCAGTTTCCCCAACACCATTTATTGAAGAAACTATTTTGACTCCATTGTAGGTTCTTGCCTCCTTTGTCAAATATTAATTGAGCATAATGGCGTGGATCAATTTCTGGGCTCTTTGTTTTATTCCATTGATCTACTTGCCTGTTCTTATGCCAGTACCAGGCTATTTTGAGTACAGTGGCTTTGTATTATAATTTGATATCTGGTATTGTGATTCCTGCAACTTTGTTCTTCTTTTGTTTGAAGTTTTAATGTAGATAAATAGTTATCTCCCTAACTTTTTCCTCAAATTTATAAAGAACTTATGATTGTACTAAGCATTTAAGCCCATAATCTTGTGACTTCAAAACAGTGAGGGATTTTTGTAACTCAACGGTAAAAGTGGTTGTTTCACTAATTCATGAATGAGTGGTCTTCCAAAGTCCTGGATGATCTTATACAAAGGAAATTCTCCTGGATTTCTACCAGAATGAAGTGTTTAAATCCTTAGAATTGGCCCTCTTCACAAATACTGGGAAAGGCTATGCACATCACTGAATTGTGTGATATATAGCATTCCTACATAGTGGGGAGCTACCACAAATTAAAAAAATAATAATAATAATTACTAGTGTACTCACCCAAAATATTTTCTGATCTCTCCAGTAACTATCACAACAACCTACTGCAAGTTCTTCAAAGCCTTTGCTATTCATATCTGCCTTTCTATTCACAATGTTATACTAGTTCAGGCTTATATTCTTATATTCATTGATCAAATAACGTATTTCTTGAGCACTATATGCAAGCACTGTCTTGGGAGCTATGTACAAAATGATAAACAAGAGAGACATGGTCTTAGCTTATGTAACTTACAGTTTGAAAAGAGAAAACATACAAATAAAAATGCTGACAGATAATTTGATAAGGTGTGATTAGGGAAAATAATAGGATGTTTTAAGAAAGAGTGATAGGAAAGATAGGTCCTAATTTATATAGGGACAGAGGAAATGCTGTCATTTGGAGAAGGATTCTCTCCAAAACTGACACTTAAGCCAATATTTGAAGAATGAACTGTAGTAATCAAGGCAAAAGAAACAGCACAAACCCTCAGCCTTAAGATAAGAAAAGACATGGCATATTTTAGGATTAACGTGAGGCCAGTGTGGCTGAGAAAAGAGATTGGAATATAGAGCCTAAATTATTAGGGCTTTACAGGCCACATTAAGAAGTTTTATTTCATTCAAAATACCATTGTAAAATTAAATAGTTTTAAGCAGGAAAGTGATATATGACCTAATTCATTGCTTTAAAAGCTTACTACACATCGCTTCTCAGCCTTTTGGCTATGGTAAAGTGTAATAGCTGTTCTTATCAGTTTAATATCTGATATATCTTTTACCCAAGATAATATATTACATGGATTTTTGAAGCAGGGAGGTGGAGCAGGAGCTTGCTCCATCCACTCTGAGCATTGACCTAGTATTTCAGTACTTCCAGAAATGGTGCATGGGAAGAAATAAAATCAAACCTTACTACAGTTTCTGAGTAGAGAATGATTTGAGCACAGCAAAAGCAGAATTAGAGAAATCATATGGAAGACAACAGGAGTTCCAACAATATAGAGGTTTATGTTAGGGTGTTGACATGAAAATTAGAAAGAAAATAGGTGAATTTATATGTTTTAAAGGTAAAATTAATAGAAATTGATGATGGACTAGATGTAGACTAGTTTGAGCAACTGATGAAGGAAGGTGATATAATCCTATATAATAAAAGCCTAATATGCTAAGTGTCCGGTCAACCAGTCAGCCATTGAACCAATCAAAGCATAATATGGACAAAATGGTGGCTGAATAGGCAGATGTGTCCCAAGATTTGTCCCGGAGCAGATAGAGGGAGCAACTAGATCGAATGACATCCACCCCAAATTGGCGAAGTAGACACTGCTGGTGGGACAATTCACAGCCAGGAAGGGCAAAGGACACATGGAGAACGGTAAAATCAGGGATCTGCGCTGGAGAGAATTGTGAGACCTCAAAGCCCAGAAGGTCAGAAGGAAGCCGCATGGCACCAAGGCTGTGTCCCTTGGGACAGGCATAACATCTGACTGTAGAAAAGGAGTCCACAGGGCTACTGCTGGCAGGGATTCTAGATCTAAGGCCACAGCCACGAGAGGCTGAGCCCAGAGAGGGCAGCCTGAACAACTTCCCAAGCCACGCCGCACTGGGGGGAGAGAGGTTCACAGTGGTGCAGCTCTTCCCCCTCTTTGGTCTTTGCTTTTATTTGCTAAGCCCAGTTCATAGGACCTCTCAAATAAAAACACTCACCTGTGGCTGAGATGCAGATTTGTGGAGTCTGGGGAGAAGAGCAGCTCGGGGAGAGGTGGCTAGGAGTCTGGTACTGAGACATACCTGACAGGCTGGACCTGCGCAGCCATTTTCTTCTGAAGAGATAGCCCTTCCCTGTAGTCTCCAGGGGACCAGTACAGCCACACCCAGACTACACCCGGAGTGCTATAAAGGATACCAAAAAAATCTGAATAGTCCTGAGAGTCCTCAGGGACTGGCCTGAAGAGGGGCCTTTCAGTCCTGGGAAGCCATATGGCAACCTCCCCAACTATAGCCTTGTCAGAAACAGCTGCTTGAGAGATTAAGATTGAAAGCAGAAGTCAGGCTAAGTGGGAAGACTGGTCCCGCCAGCTCGAAGTCAAGGCTGTGGAGATTGACACAAACAGCAGAGCAGTGGACCACTTGGAACTTCAACAATCTAACAGAAAACTGAGAAGTGGCAGACAGTACAGAAGAATGGGATGTTAAACCAGCCCCCATGTGACATTAAAACTTGGCAGACACTTCACTTTTTCATATTTATTTTATTTTTTTTTTATTCCTAGGGGCCCAGTGCATGAATTCGTGCACCTTGAAAAAAACTGTGGGCCGCGAGGCTGCAGTGGGCACAGGGGCAGGTCTTGACCCATCCTCCACGCCCTCGCTCAGCCCCTCTCGCTGTGGCCCAGGGTCCCCTATCTGCCAGCAGCCAAGCTCCCACTGCTGCTGCTCGCACCCACCGATGGCAAAGAGCAATTGGGGCCAGCGCCAGCAGCAAGTGTGAGCAGGGCTGGCGCCAGCAGTGGGTACAAATGCCAAGCAGGACTGCAGCATGTGAGAGCAAAGAATTTTCAGTAATCACCAGAAGCTTTCCCTGATGACAGTGAGCAGTGCCCCGTCTTGGTCTGGCACCCCCACTCACCTGCTCTACCATCCCGCCACAGCCATCACTTGCCACGTTCTACGCTCTGCCACCTGCTGCCAATGCCCGCCACTGACGCCCACCATGTTCCACACATCCCCTGGTGGTCAGCGCACGGCATAGCAACTGGTTGTTCGGTTGTTCTGCCATTCAGTCTATTTGCATATTAGGGTTTATCTATACAGATTATTTTGTTATCTCTCTTTTTTCTGTATTTCCTTTTTTCGTTTGTTTCTTTACTTTTATTTCTTCTTGCATTATTTTTCATCATTCTATTCCTATTTTTTCTATTTTTAGTTTTACTTTTTTATTTTATCCTATTTTTAATTAATTAAAAAAAATTTTTTTGCCCTAACCAGTTTGGTTCAGTGGATAGAGCATCAGTCTGTGAACTGAAGGGTCCCAGGTTCAATTCCGGCCAAGGGCATGTACCTTGGTTGCATGTACCAGTAGGGAGTGTGCAGGAGGCAGCTGATCGATGTTTCTCTCTCAACGATGTTTCTAACTCTCTATCCCTCTCCCTTCTTCTCTGTAAAAATCAATAAAATATTTTTTAATGTTTTTTCTTCTTTCTCTTTCTCTTTCTTCTTATCCATTCATCCTCTTTCTATTTCCTCTATACTGAACTGAGGTTCTCCCAATATTCATCCAATTCCTTAACCTACTTTTTATATATAAGCTCAGCCTCTACAGATTCTGCCCCCACCCTCATTTCTGGGTGTTTGGTATTTACATTTTTTGGTTTATCTGTTTGTTATGTGGTGTTTCTACCCATATATATTTTTTTTCCTTTTTATTACTTTTTCTTCTCTTATGATTTTTTCTCTCCTTGATATCATTTGTGCCCTCTTTTCTCTCCCCTAATTCTCTTTTCTCTGGTGGTCACTTATATTGGGGTTATCGGTGTCATGAGTACATTTGTGTTTTGTTCCCTTTGTGTCATGTCTTGTCGAGTTGCATTTTGTCCTGTTTGGTCAGTGTGGTGGAGAGTGAGCCACATAACCAGACACCTGGAGAAGAGACTCCATCCACGAACAGGTAAATAACACTCCAGACCAGTGAAGGCGAACCTTTTGAGCTCAGCATGTCAGCATTTTGAAAAACCCTAATTTAACTCTGGTGCCATGTCACATATAGAAATTTTTTTATATTTGCAACCATAGTAAAACAAAGACGTATATTTTTTATATTTAGTTTATATATTTAAATGCCATTTAACAAAGAAAAATCAACCAAAAAAATGAGTTCATGTGTCACCTCTGACACGCGTGTCATAGGTTCACCATCACTGCTCCAGACCCAACTACAGATACAGAAAAATGGCGGCAGTGAGGGAGAAAGTGTAAGTGAGTGAGAGAGTGAAAGGGGAGTGTGTGGACATGTGGGGTGTGTGTGTGTACATGAGTGAGGGACAGTTAGATCCCTCAGGACCTTTGGGGGCAGCCTCTGCTACCATTTCAGACAGTCCTGGGCAGCTGGTCCTACCACAGAGGTCACACTTTCTTGAAGGGGAGAGCTGCTGTGACTGGAAACCCAGCCTCACCTCCACCCAGGGTGCCCTCAGACACCACCGGGACTTTACAGCCACCCCTGCTAGGGACCTGCTGCCTTGGCTGTGGTCCCACGGTCACCAAGACTCCAGCCACCCTGGCCACAGACTCCTGTGAGTTCTGAAGCACGCTCTCCTATGGCCGGCCCAACACTTTAGCCCAGGACACCATGACCACATGAGCAGCAGCAGCATGAGCAGCCCACCCCCACCTGAAGAGCAACTGCCACACAAGGAGCCGCTGCCACCCAAGGAGCAGCCCCTGAATGACTCGACACCTAGATCCTTCAGTGAGAGCAAAAATGGGGAGACAAATAAACACCCAAAGGAAAGAAAAGGCAGAATCACAAGAAAAGGAGCTAAGTGAAACAGAGGCATGCAATATGTCAGAAAAAGAATTCAGAATAAGGGTCATACAGTTCATAAACCTGGTGGATGAAAAAATCAACAACTTATGTAAGAATCAAGAAGAAATAAAGAGTGGTATAGCCTGCAATAAAAAAAAACACTATAGAAAGTTTCAACAGTAGACTAGGAGAAGCGGAGGACTGAATTAGTGAATTAAAAAACAAGGAAGCAAAACACACTCAAACTGTACTGCAATTAGAGAAATTAAAAGACAGGAGGAGAACCTAAGGGAGCTTTGGGACAATATCAAACAAAGCAACATACGAATAATAGGGGTGCCAGAATGACAGGAAGAGGAAAAAGGGTTATAAAACCTATTTGAAGAAATAATGTCAGAAAACTTCCCTGGTGTGTGGAATAAAAACTAACACAAGCACAGGAAGTCCCAAACCAGAGGAACCTGAAAAGACCCAAACCAAGACACATCTTAATGACGTTGCCAAATGTTCAGGACAAAGAGAGAATCTTAAAGCTTTCAAAGGAGAGAGAAAGTTATGTACAAGGGATCTCCCATTAGATTGTGAACTTATTTCTCAACAGAAACCCATCAGGACAGAAAGGAATGGAAGGAAGTTTACAAAATGATGCAAAGCAAGGGACCAAGAATACTCTATCCAGCAAGACTATTATTCATAATTGAAGGGGAAATAAGGAGCTTCACAGACAAAAACAAAAAGGCTAAGGGAGTTTATCACCACTAAACCAGCAATGCAAGATATGCTAAAGGGACTGGTGTAAAAAGAAGAAATAAAAAGGGAAGAAGGAACACAGGCACACAAAAAATAAAAATGGCTACAAACAAGTACCTATCAATAATAACGTTAAACGTAAATGGACTAAATAATCCAATCAAAAGACATTGACTGGCTGAATGGATAAGAAAACATAACCCATATATATGCTGTCTACAAGAGACCCACCTTAGAACAAGGGACTCACACAGACTGAAAGTAAAGGGATGGAAAAATATCTTCCAGGCAAATGGGAATCAAAAAAACAACAACAACAAACCAAAAAACTGTGGTAGCAATACTTATATCTGACAAAATAGACCTCAAAGTGAAGGCCATAACAAGAGATAAGGAAGGCCACTTCATAATACTGAAGGGATTGATACAACAAGAGGATATAACCCTGGTAAACATATATGCATCCAATGCAGGAGTACCCAAAAACATTAAAAAAAAAAAAAACTCCTGGGAGATATCAATGGAGAGATTGAAAACAATACAATCACAGTAGGGGACTTTAATACCCCACTGACATTACTGGATAAATCGTCTAGACAAAAAATCACCAAAGAAACA